GGAAGTTCATGTGGATTTAAAAGATTTAGTCCAAACTCCCAGTTCCTGTTCCAACACCCATATAAGGCACTGGCTACAAGTGCTTTTAAAACATTTTATTAGGAGAACTTGAATTTATAAAGGACAGCTTTCCTGCAGAGACACAAAACCCAACCTTTTACTGGAGGTTGAAAAGTTAGACTGTTTTAACTGCAGCCATTTAGTGACACAAGAGAGTAAAAGTCTGCTGGTGGGCTGGCCACTAATGTGCCAAATTCATGTACCTCAGAACTTAGTCTCCTTTGGAGCTGGCCTCCTGTTTCCAGAGGCCCGTTAGTCACTAGGATTTCAGCTCTAATAAAAATGTCTTAACAACTTCTACCTTCAGTGTCAGGAGTTGGACTCCGACCACTCTGTGTAGGAGCCCTGGTTTAGGGGAGACTCCTCGGCTGCCATTTGGTAAACACTTTGGTGAAAACTTTTTATGTGCTTTGTTCTAGGCCAAGGCTCCCTGTCAGTGCTAAGAGGAAAACAACACTGATTGTGCTAAATCTCTGCTCATGAGTAAGCTGGTCTCAGGGAGGGCAGAGGACATACAAGGGGGGAGACATGACTACCGCCTCACTGATGGCAGCACAGAAATGGACGTAAGCAAAGCGTGAAGCTCTTCTTCTCTTACTTGTTCTCATGTTCCTCCTACTACATCAATTTATTTTGGGATTTCTATCGTAATTACAGCCAGGATACTTCTCCAAACTTAAAAAGGGTTTCTAAATTGGATCACATAATACTAAGGGCAAAAGTTGATGATAGTCATATTATTAATCAGATTAGGCCCTCATATTTGTAAATGGTTTAATGACATACAAAATATCATACTTGTTCTCTCCCTCTCTTTGACGATAGAAAAGAAATTAATACCTTCCTTTAATAAATGTGAGCACTAGTACTCAGAAGATGAATGATTTACCCAAGGTCATACCAAGAGAGTCACCATTACTTAAGTAGATGCTATTTATAACACTGTACTTCCCAAGGAAGTTTGAGTGCTTGATTTTAAATTGTTAATTTTTTCAAAACTTTATGAATGCTTAAAACTAAGCTTTTAAAAAGATGTCAAAGTAGAAAGGCATGTCAGTGACACCGAACTCGAAAAACATCTCATCAATTTTGATAATAATTATAAGAATGTAAATTAAATAACTGTGACATAATGCACTTTTTAAGTTGGTTCAAAATAAATATAACTAAACCTCTCCAATAGGGAATAGGATACATTTAATAAGTATCCTATTCCCTGTTGGAGAGGGTCTCATTACTGCTGATGGTCCTGTAAACTGGAAAAATCTTTCTAAAGAAATGTAGCAAAGTCTTCTGAATTGCTCTGCTCTTGATTGGTAAGATAAATTTAAAATTAATCTATGGAAGTAATTTAAAAAATATAAAAATTTTACTCTGTTTCCTGTAAGCCTGTTATTTACAATGCTAAAAGATTGGAAAATATCTAATATCTTTTGAGTGAGAAATGGTTTTAAAATATAGCATGTAAACATAATATAAACCTAAAGAGATAAAAAGCTAAAAATGAAGATGATTACCAATAAAAAGCTATGTACATATTTATATTAGGTTAACAAATAGGGAATAGAAAATCAAATGTGTGTAGGGAATTACAATGTCATATTGAGTAAAATTTATTTAAGTACAGCTATTTGTGCACAAGGATGAAGAATTCAAGAGACCTTAGAAACATATCTGCAATTAATAAACCAAATCTGAAGACATTACTTGTGAATTTTACCTTAAAATAATTTAAATGTTTCATTTAACTATGATCTTAGATTTAATCCAGTTTTTTTCCAGTTTACAGGATCCTCTGCAGTAATGAGACCACTTATTAAATGTATCCTATTCCCTATTGGAGAGGTTGAGTTATATATATATATAATCTTAGTTATATTGATCTTTATCAATAACCAATTTTGGCAGAAATAAATTTAGTTTATATTAGATGGGTCTCATTCCTGGATTCAGTGTCACACATGGGGGGTGGTCATTACCCAGAAATAATTCACTAAGCTACTCAATATGGCATTGTAATTCCCTACACATATTTGATTTTCTATTTCCTATTTGTTAACCTAATATAAATAATATACTTATTCCGTCAATGAAAAAATAAACAAAAGAAAGGAATCCTGACTGAAATCCAGGGACTGGGTTTTCTCTGCTTCATAAAGAATATCTTTTAACTACTGGTTTCCTGCAGTTGTAAAAGAGGCAATTTTGCTGGATCACACAGAAAGTTCTTCCTGTTCTAAGGCCTTTGGTTCTTTAAAACACACATGTCTAGGATTGTCCTTAAAAAAAAAAATTGTTCTGTTTAATTCTTTCTGTTTCCCCAACATCTTTTTAGTTCTAGTGTGCAGCTTATTGGACTTATGTAAATTTAGAAGAAATTAAAGTGCTAGTATACCCATCTGAGGGTGTGAGAGCTGTGTTGAACTCCGCAATCAATGCTGAACAAAGGTCCCTGGGTAAAGCTTAACTGAATTCTGGTAAAAATTTAATTACATTTTAGAGTCACTATGTATAGATTTCATTAAAAAAAACTTGATTAAATGTTCTTATAAAGGAGGATATTAAAAAGATGGTAAGGATTTCCATTATTTGAATTCACCCAGTTCTTCCATGTCTGTGATTAAATATCTCCCAGACAGTTTTCCTTGCTATAAGCACAGTACATTAACATACAACCAAAGCAGAGGGGGTAGTATGCTGAAGACCCTATGCCTCGAAGAGAGGTTAAAACCTGAGCCCACTGTAGAAACTCTCCTCATTTTGTCATATTGGCCTTTCTTCGGTCTTATTACACACTCAGGAAAGCAAGCAAAGCATTAAAAAGTGGGAAGAAGTTTTATGTCTGAGAGCTAAAACAACTTCCTGGTGAATCTCACTGCATAGGTAAGGTTCTCAGGTTCAGAAACAGTGATGAGGATCAAACATCTTAGTAAAATTAATCTTGGAATACCATGTATTACACTACTGTTTCTGGAGAAAGCAAAGGGTGCTTTACTAAGATTGCTTCATTTCATCTTCTGTAGTCTTTGGGGGAAATATGGAGCAAATTGAAGCCTTAGGAAGATGAAGTAATTTACACCGGAAGACAAAGTATTAAGTGATGGAACTGAATTCAAACTCACGAGCTCCTCGTACTGTTACGTTGTTTCCTGATAATGTATTTAAGAGTTTTGGTTTATGAAGGATGAAAAGAATGGGTGAAGAGGGCTGTCACAAGAAAGTCATTAAAGTGGCCAAGAGTCAACAATGTAGTCAAAAAAGGATGAAGCAGAAAAGTTATAAAAACAAAACAAAACAAACAAAAAACCACACACAACCATTTGCAATTTCTTAGATTAGGAACAAATGGGACTGGGGTGCCTCTGCAGGCTCTGCTGACATCACTGTCAAAGCTCTCATAGCAACCAATAATTTCATAGTGGTGGTTCTAAGTTATTGTCAATGATAGTTCATGTAGTCCACATGAAAAGGCTGGGAACTATGCAATGCTTTTTTTCTTTTCAATGAAGATCCCAAAAGGTGACATCTGAAATATTTGAATGTCCATTAGTGGTAAGCTTTCATTGGCCAGATTTTCTTTTAGATGTCATCGCTCTTTCCAGATCAACAGGACATTACTGTGTCCATCTTTATGTTTTGGACAAACTAAAACCATGTGGTATTTGCACAAGATATGAGGCTGTGGATAACTGAACATAGCCCTGGCTCTGACACTGTGACAGAACATAAGAAGTTACTCTCCCTATCTCTGTTTCTGTGTTCTCACTTCTAAAGAGATAAATTAGGCAAATGGTCTGAAGATTTTTTTTTTCACCTCTAAAAATGTATGGCTTTTTAATGATGCTACATGTATTTAAATTGCCTCTAGGAGAAAAATGAAATCTGTTAGAGATGCAAAATGATATGTAATCCTTCATAGTCTTAATCTTGAACTTTTGGAACTGTGCTACAAACACCAGCACTACAATGAGTTAAAGTTACCAGGTTATGGCAAAATACCATCCAGGCCACAAACTCCAATAAACCTTGAATTTTGGAAATTTTGCAAAGCTGTGACTCCCAACACCTTGCACCAAGGCTTTTTTGATGCTGCAATACCTCGGCATGAAAGGCCAAATCATTACTCTTTTGTGAGTTGCAAAAAAAGTAATACTTTTATCCACAAACACATGTTAGACAGGCAGATCAAAATCATGCAGAATGATAGCAAAATAAGGTACTTAAATTTTTTTAAAAGTTTGTATTTAGTCATCCAATTGTTCTATTAGAGAATAACATAATAGATTAAGTGGCCTTGCAAAAAATCTAAGATAATATGACTATTTTTCAGTCTCTCAGCTATGTTATTAAAATAGAGGGGTTTTTTATTTTAAAAAAGAAAACAATTATTAGCTCAGTCAGTATTATTATTCATTTCTCTTTAAGGTGCTCTATAATTCAGGGTTTCTCTGCATTATTGAAAATCTACTGGATAAGGCTGGTAAGAAACATTCTGGGTAGAAAAGTAGTCCAGAAGTTTAGAAGAGCCTGACAAGTCCAGAAGTCTGCAAAGATTCCCTAAAAATACTGGCTTTCAAACGCAGGGCGAGATTTACTAGCAAGAGGTAGACTCTGCTACTGGGAAGCCTTCTGATGCTTTGAGGAGGATACCTGCTAGTTTGGACATACATGCCTAAAATCCATAAGTTGGATTTGAACTTCTCAATCACTAAATGAAAACAGACCCACCCCAATGCACATTTCTGACCTCATATGAATGGGGAATACAGGGGGGAAATCTACAATTTGCCTATTTACACATATATATACACACATACAAACACACACACACACACACACAGTATAACACTGGGTGAGAAATAAAGCTTAGATGGCTACATTCTGTCTGGAGTGATTGGCATCAGGCCAAAGCACCTGAAGAGCAAAAATAAAGCACTTACAATGTAGCAGGGCTCACAGTAGGCTTTCTTTTCAACGGCATAGAAGGGCTGCCCTCGGAGCTTGTTGTTGCAGATGATGCAGGTGAAACAATCCACATGGAAGACCTGATCCATGGCAGTGCATCCTGTACCTTCCCCAACTACATTTTCCCCACAGCGAGCACAGCGGCCTGAAAGAAAAAGGGGAAGAATTGTTAAGGACAAAGAAGTGCTTTGATCCTTCTGAAGAAGTCATTGTCCAGGAGACAGCAGATTTGTATTGTCAGCAGCAGCAAAAGAACCACCACCATCACCAGTAAAGTCACTTCCATCCTTTGAATGGATGTGGATTTTACACGAGTTAACTGAACAAAATTGACCGAAGGTCCCAGAGAAAGTGATGGACTAGAACACAGGTCTCTGATTTTGAGGCCATCATCTGACTCCATTCACACTTGCAGATATAAGAGGGATATGAGTCAGGATGTTTGGACTGAAAGGCACAATCCACAAAACAGTCCAGGAAAGCTTCTCCTTGGAGAGTCTGTATATACAGGTGGAATGGGAGAGATCTGGATCCACACTTGAACTTCAATTCTTTTCACAAAATCACTGGTTGTCAAGCCTCTGCAGTCAGCCCCCAGTGATGGGTACACTACTCTAACTTCAAAAAAGTTCTCTTTCACACTGAATCAGATACTGTTACCCACTTGTTCTAGCTCTATGTCTTCTAGTTTCATCTATTGGACCTGACCACGTAAACACGTACAATTCACTGAGCATGGCCTCAGTGTCTGCTCTTAGTTTGCATATCCCTAACTCTGCAGTGGTTCCACATACTGTGGGGTTTTGAGTCCCTTGTGGCCATGGTTGTCATTGTCCATCCAGTGGTCTGCAAAGCTACTACATTCTTAAATTGATTAAAGGGGCATCTGGTCCATATATGGACACAGAGTTAGTTAGGTTTAAGTTTTAAATAATAACAACAAAATATAATTTTGAAACATAATTTTGTCAGCAAGAGGCACTGTGTGGTTGTATGTTCATCTCTATCTGGCTTTGTCATGGGAATTTGGAACAAGAGGTTTGGTCTGCATCTAGTATGCATCTTTATTCTTTGTCTTTACTAAATTAAAAACAATCCTAACAGGTACTGAGAACACTGGGAATATCAGAAGAATTTTCAGTCTTTTCACCATAACTTGTAGCAAACCTAGTGCTTCTCGTGCCAGGCATTTCTTCTTGGGGCATCTATGTATTAACTCATATTCACAATCCATGTGTAGATACTGTTATTATTCTACATGCCTTAGAAAACTAAGGCATGGAGAATGTTTAACATCAAGTCCAAGCAGTCTAGTAGCTTTAGTGCCTATGCTCTTCACCACTCTGGTAAATTGCCCCCTCCCAGTTCTGTGCACCAAGTTTAACACAGATCCAACGCTATGGAGCATTATGGGGAGATTTGTCAGAGAAAACTGCTCTCAACACTACATCATTTGGATTGACAATCATTTCACACTCAAAAGTGGGAGAGCTAAATGTTTCAACTTGGGAGAAAAGAAGTAAATATATTTCTAGTTCTCTATGGTTGTATTTGGCCCTAGAAAGCATTTCTTTATATTCTGTTGTAGGATCAGAATGTCTCTGACATAAAGCTCAAACTATCTAAGCAATAAGAACTATCAAATGCTGGCAAGAGTTAAGCTCTTAGAATCTGAGCTATCTCTACTACAGTTGATATTTTTATGAAGTCTCAATATTATATTCCTGACATTTGATAAAAATTTTGTAATAATCAATGTGTATGGTTTTATAAACCTCTTTCTAAAAATTAACTTGTACCTGTTTTTATTATAAGGTGTAACTTAGAAAGATATCTTTAAATTTTTCTACATTCCCTGTTAACAGTAAGAAAATCACATTATTTTATGTGTCACTATGTTCATGGTTATTGTGAAAACAGAAAAACCAAAAACTTAATTGGTTTACTAAAAGTTAAGCATGCTATGTTTGCAAATGAGACTGAAATTCTAAGAGCTTCATGCCACCAACGGACAACATTTCTTTCCAGAAAACATACTTGGTACTTTCAAGGGCCAGTGGGATGACCAATCCATATGACTATTAAAAACATTGGATGCCTATGAAAACTCAAATGTTGTATTACACATTTGTTAAATGCTGGTTGGTAAAATTATTTTTCTACCTTATTATTTCCCTTTATAAAAGTAAAAGGATCATGTAATAAGATATCAAGGGACCACCAGGGATCTTGTGGACCACACTTTGTAATAATAGTTTGGGTGGATTAGTAATGACTTTTGGTCATAGCGGTCTGCTAAGCTGTTAAAGCTGGCAGTTTTGGTCTAGACTATAAATTTCTAAAGTATAATACCTGGAATCCAAGAGCTTCCACCTGCATGATTTGTAGAGAGTTTGATAGCTATCCATGAGGACTGGGTGGTCAGTGTCAATCTCTGATTTAGAAGAAAAGGTCCAGCTGAACAGGTAAGCTTTGAAATTTTCCATGAATTCAACAGACATCAAATGTCTACTCTTTGTCCAGGACCACAGTAAGATTCTGTGTGACATGCAGAAATGGAATTGGTGCTGTCAGCACCTTTTACAGTCACTTTGAGACTTACCTACATCCAACATGCACATGACAAAATATGCCTGTTGGATGTATGTTGTAGAAGAAAGTATTATGAAAATATGGAAGGAAAATCACATTGAGAGGGCTCAGTAACAACAAGCATTTGAATTCAATCTTAAAGGATGGAATTTTGACAGGTGGAAATGAAAGAGAAAAAAATATTCTAGATTTTCCAAAGAGATCCTGAGTGTTGGTTTACAAGAGGCAAAATTGCTGCAGTGATAGCAAAAGAGGCTTTAGTCTTCTCAGCTCTGTGAGCAGATGGACTATTTCATTAAAAAAAAAAAGAAAGAAAAAAGAAAAGAATAGAAAAGAAAAAGAACAACAACAAAAAAATTTTCCTTTAGGGTATGTTGAATATTTTTCCAGAGTGGGTCAGGGTAATATGCTGAACCCAGACATGACTCTGGATTTTTCTGCCTCTCATATTTTTCCTATTTTGGGGATAAATTGAGGACACTAGCCTAGAGGGCAGTCAGTCTGGCACCTCAAAATTCACAAGCACAGAAAAAAGAGTGAAGAACAAAAATTAAAAATAGCTCTACACATCAGCAACACAGAGAAGGTGCCCAAAACGTTCCCTTTTCACATTAACAAGAATTTACAAACTATGCCTTTCAGAGAAGCATTCAGAATGAAAAGACACTCAAGCAAAATGTATTCTTGCCTCTAGAGGGACTTACACTACACATTATTAAAAGCACACCATGACTTAAATGCCCACCTTAAACAAATACCTTAGCACTTTTAAACAAGGAAAAGCAGAGAAATGGTACCAAACTTCAAGGCATCAGAACATGACAGAAACACAGTTGATTAGGAGACAGTAAGAGGCTACAACTCAGACTCCAGCCTTCTGTGGGGAGCTTCCTGTGAACATGTAGTACAACAAATCAAAAGAACCAATGGTAGAGGACAGATAGCCTGAAAATTCTGTTCATGAATAAAGTCCCACAAGCCATGCACACTGAAAGTGTGTGTGTGTGTGCAGGTGTGTGTATGGCTTTTATGGTCTGGTCTGGGGTGCCAGCCAGGGATTCTTCCTACCCCTCTTTTCCTCTCTACCATTCTGTAACAACCCATCACTGTCTCTTTATCACCTACTTTCTATCACTGTGCCTACTACATAATCAGTTTTTTTTTTCCCCCAATGGACCATTGCAGTGACTTCCTCCTTGTTCTGATGTCTGTGGTTTACTTTCTGTTACAAATGGAAAAGCTTTATGAAAGTTTTAATAAGTGAGCTGAATACGGGGGGTAAGATTGAATTCAAACAAGTCATTTTTAGGCAAGTGGAGAATAACATTCTAGGAAAATCATCTGATTGAGCAAGGGAGGTAGAGTAGGGGAATATGAGTTTTCATGATTATTTTCATTTTTTTTGTAGTTTGCATTCACTTTCTTCACTTGTGCAAATAAACGTTTTTATTTAAAAATGTTTTCCCAACGATCACCATGTGCTTCTTTTGAGATGGGATCAAAGTATCCATTTTTAGAATTGGTGCCATGATATGGGGATGAGATACTTCCAAATGTGCCCATAATTCAACATTAAAATAAAGTAGTAAATTTATGCCAATATCAAGCCTGGTCACTTTTGTTTTCATATTCTCCTTGCTATTAGACTTATAGAAAATTTGGTTATAAGGAAAACTAATACTCTACCTCTAAATATTATAATGAATTGAAGCTCTATATGCCAATGTATATGATATATCTATTTTCTCAGTAACCATCTTCTTTAATTCATTCTGAAAAACAGTCCTTTATAAAAATTTTAATCAACTAAGACTATATAAAGGTAGTTTGAAAAGATGGGAAAGTATTCCTAGAAATAAGATGGGCTCCAATTAACTGTACTTATGGCCGAGGAGTTATCTTCTTGGAGCGCAGCCTCAATTAAGCTGATTCAGAAATTATCTTCCACTGATGATATGAGAAGACATTAGAACAAATTTGCATTCTTTATGTGACAGTCCCATATGATATTCTCTGAGGGTTTTAATACGATGGCATTTTCTAATCACCTAAGTTTTTATTTCATGGGTCCCTGTAACATTAATGAATGCAATAATTAAACTGCCTATTTTCTAGGACATGGATCCTAAACCTTGTTTGTATATTGCAATCATCTGGGAAACCTTAAAAAAATTACTAAATCCAGTGTCCTGGGTCCAGGGATTCTGATTTCCCAGGTCTAAGATGGTTCAGGAGTGAAAATGGTATAAGCATTTAAAATGATTCTAATGTTTGGCCAAATTGAGCCACTGGTCTAAGGGGTATTCTATCTCTATTTCTATACTACTTGTCAGAATAAATATTGACAAGATTGCTCAAACAGGTTTCTTCTGCATGCAAAACAGACTGTTCAACCATAAGTTGAAAAAATGGAAGTTTCTATGGCATTATAATATATACAGGTTTTTTTTTTCAACAAGAATAAACTCCTTAAGACTGTTGTTATGTGTTAGTTTAAACTTTTCAATGGGACTCCATCCATCCAAAATACATGAACAGAATGAGCTAAATTTT